TTGTGGACTGGGGTTGGGTTAATGGGTTAATGTTGGACTTGTGGGCTTGGGCAGCATTGGGTTGGGATGTTTTCGTGATGCATATTTTCTTTACATAAAACTCTCTTATACATGAGTTGCTGTGGATTTGTTTCTTCAAAGTACCCAAACTAATACAAACCCCTTTAGGAGTTTAATACGCAAGGCAGAAGACTCAGGCAAGGAAGAGTCTCGGCCTTCCCCAGACTGAGCGGAACCCAAGAGCTCTTGGAACGCACGCCGGGAGCTCACTTCCCGCAGCGCGCAAACCGAGCGACTACAATCCCCAGGAGGCTCCGCGGCTTCTGGGCGACATTCCACCCCCGAGCGTTCGCGCAGTGCCTGTCGGGACAGGTAGTCCCCGCCGCGGTAACCCCGACCGGAAGGCCGTCTCCGCCCCCGCCACCCGCCCTACCTCCTTCCATGTCCTCTGTCCAGTTGCGGCTGCTACTCGTGGGAGAACTGGGCGACGTGTAGTAATCGCCGCCGGGGCTCGTGTCAACGTCTTCCTCCATCGAGCCCGATTTGTGCCGCTTGCTCCTAAGGGGCGAGGGGAAGACAAGGACCAGTTTATCAAAGAGACACGCAGGAGCGGAGGGGGAGGGGAAGAGGCCGACTAACTTCCGGTCTCGGGGGATGGGTAGTATCGCGAGAGCTCCAGGGAGCTCCAGCCTGGGTCGGTTTTCAGTATAACACCTGTTGCAACTCACCAGTTGCTCGCCTGGGGTCAATTAGGGCCTGAGGTTGGGAGGAGCTTAATTGAGGCCAGACTGCAAACTAGTAGGGTGGACACTAAGCCTCAGCCGGCCCGCTGGCTAATCTCTTGACCTACTGTAATCCTTTGGGTTGCCTGTTCGTGATGACCTTTTAAACCGGGGAATGTGCGTTAGACACTACTTCCGGGTCACAGCCGCACAGCATAACTCAGCAAAAGCCCCCTCTGCAAACGCTGGGTCCCCATGGCCGGGCCAGGACTTGAGGTCCTGGTGGCGCAGTGGTGAGGCGCTTGGCCGCGAGCCAACCAGAAGACCAGTAGTTCGATCCCACCCGGCTGCTCCACAGGAGAAAGTGTAGCCCATCTGTTCCTTGCCAACCTTTCCAGACTCGGACGCTCTAGGGGGGGTGGGGAGGCAGTTCTACCCTGGGTCACTAGGAGCCGGAATGGCAGTGGGTTAGGTTTTGAAGGGTGAAGAGGGGTTTGCCAGGGGGCTGGTTCATTCCAGGCAGAAGGGCAAATGAGCCGGCCAGGAGGGTGTTCTGAAGAGCTGCCAAGTGGGGACGTACCCACTGGATGAAGTGCTGGGTAACGTCCTTCTCATGCCAGTGCTGGCTGGGTTCAGGTCGTATGCCAGGTGGCCCTGCAGCTCCCCCAGGGAGAAGTTGGGTCCTGTTCCAGTCACCACGGGTGCTGTGGAGAGGGGCAGAGAGGTGAGGGAGGGAGGGAGGAAGCCACTGGAAGTGGAGGGGAATGTTTGGGGCCAACCGGCAGGCAGGCAAGCAAGCAGATGGGAGCCCTTTCCCAAACCAGTCTTAGTCTGTTGATCCGAAAACCAAGGCGAGGCCAAGGGTGCACAGAGAGGCAGAGGAATAGCCAGAGTGGCCGCCTTGAGCTGCTGCTCAGGGTTAAGGCTGGACATTGCCCAGAGTGGGGCTTGAAACAGGTTGTATGTGGAAGGGGACAGCAGGCAGAAGGACGGGATGGCCTTGGTGAGGAGTGGTGCTGGGCCGGTGGTGATCTGTCACCCTCCACCAACCAGCATGGAGATTGTTTTCCCCGGGAGGTGGCCTGCCACTGGGGCTGAGCTCAGGGAAGAGTCCCAAAGCCGTCCTTTTACAGGGACTTCAGCTTGGTGATGGTGGGGGCTGGAGAAGGGCAGTAGGGTGGGGCTGATGGGCCCCTGGGTCTTCTCTGAGCCCCTCTTCCTCTCCAGACCCTCCGCTACCCCAACCCCTTCCACTTTCTAAGACCTTTTTCTACACCTTCTTCCCTATCTCTGGGCCCCTTCTCTCACCCTGATCTAGCTTCTCTGCCTCAGAGCCTCTCCTCCCCCGAGCCCCACCCCTTAGAGCCCCTCCCCGCTAAGCCCCTCTCCTCTAAGGCCCACCCTTCTTGGAGCCCCTCCTTTCCCTGTATCCCTTCTCTCCATGACCCTCCCAAAGCTCCCCTCCCCCATCCTTGTGTCTTTCCCAGCGCCCACCCACCCCCATGTCTGGCTCCAAGCGGGCAGGACACTCACTGCGGGACACCTGGATGAGCTCCGTGACACTGAACACACCGGAGGTGACGAAGCTCTCCTGGAAGTCGGTTGTGTCTGGAACAGGGAGAGCGGGGTCAGCATGGGGGACCTGGCTGCCTCCATTCTCGCGTCCCAGATGCCCCCTGGACGGAACCAGCTCGGCCCTGCACCCACCCCTGCGTAGGAGGGAAGGTCTCCCGGGGTCTTTTTCACTGTAGCCAGGCCCAGACTCCCTTCTCCAGGGGTCCCGTGCTGGGGGTGGGGTAGCTCGTTGTGGCAGGCTGCGGGAAGCCAGAGGCACCTGGACCCAGGTTCGAATCGAGATTCTGCCCTACTCCGTGTGTGAACTTGGCCTTCGGGTCTGAACCTCACTTTGTCCCAATCTTGGGTTGGGGGACCCTAAACTGCGTTACAGGGATGGGGGCAGGTGAGAGAAAGAAGGGCGGATGAGGGAGGGACTGGAGCCTCCAATAAAGCCAGGCTTCCTTTCTCGGGAGGGGCAGGGTCGCCCCTCCCTCCCAGCCCCCATGCCACTGAAGCACCGAGCAGAGCTGCCTGCAGCGGCAGTGGACAGTGCTGCCCAGTGTCCAGTAAAGGTTACCCTCCTCCGGGCGGGGTCAGCGGACAGCTGGACCTGTACTGGCCCTGGGAGCAGGCCTGTCCAGGGAGGGGGACAGAGAAGCAGATGGGAGTGGTGGGGGCTGGAAGCATGGGGGAGGGAAACCCTCTTGGAGAGAGAGCCAGTGACATGCATGTCTCCCCCTAAGAGAGAGCCCTGGTGGCCCAATGGTCATGCGTTGGGCAGCTAACCAAGCTGCAAGGTCAGTAGTTCGAGCCCACCAGCCCCCCAGAAGGTGAAAGCGGAGGCTTTCTCCTGGAAATAGTTACCATCTGGGAAACCCATGGGCAGCCCTACCCTGCCCTGCAGGGTTTCAGAGGAAGGTGGAGAAGGGTCCCTGGGCAGAAAGGACGGTTTGCCCTGAGCGCCAACCCGAAGATTGGTGTTTGGAGCCCCCCAGAAGTGGGGACGTGGTGTGTGAGAGTGTGTGTGTGTGGTCAGACCCGAAGTGGGATTGGCTCAGCGGAGCTTGCGGGTGTGGTGGGAGCAGTTCCTCTCCCGGGCCCCAGGGGGCAGCGCTGGCCACGGGGAGCCACCTCCCAGCGCCCATGGCACCCCGTCTCCCCCGCACGCCTGTCGGGCAATGGCTGCGCGCCGCCCCGGGCTGGGCCGAGCAGGGAAGGCACAGGGCCACCGCAGGCCTGGGAGGACAGGGCGGTGGCCCCAGCGTCCAGGGGAAACGGCCGCGGCCGTTTCCTGCCGCCCCAGCTGGCCAGCTGGGGTCAGCAGCCCCGCGCCTCCCCCGCCGGGGTTTCCTGTTTGTGCTCGGCTCTGGGGGACTCCCTGGCAGGCAGAGAGGACCCGGCTTCCTCCGCGGCCGCCCACACTCCCCACGGGCCGCGCGTCCCCCTCCCTGCCCACCCCATCCCGAACATCTGGCGTGGAGGGCGGCGCCTGGGAGATCATGGGAGGTCAAGGGCTCAGGTCACAGACAGCCGGATAGACGAACGAGTCAGCGGGAGCCAGGGACCGAGGCCCATGGACCTTCCGGAACCATCCCGCCTTCCTTCCACACGGGATGACCTCCCCCACTTTTCCTTTCCTCCCTCCTACTCTCTCCTCCTCCTCGAAGCGAAGCGTTCCCTGCAAACCCTCCGGAGACCCGCACAGACAGAGCGCCCTACTCCCCACCCCCTGGGAATCGCTGGCTTCCTCTGCGGGAAGCCACACCGAGGGCTGTGGAGGAGGGGCCGGGCTCCTGGAGGATGCCTCGGAGCCGGGAGCATCTGAACTGAGACCTGGGAAGAGGTCCAGCAGGTGGCTGTCTGGGCAGAGGGCACCGCTTGTGCAAAGGTCCTGGGGCAGGGCCAGGCCTGGCAAGGTGGAGGAACAGCCAGGTGCCCTGTGGCTGGATGGAGGGGGAGAGAGGAGGGCAGGGGCCCTGAGGGCCTCCGGGAGGACTGGATCTAGACCAGAGGGAGGTGGGGAGCCCTGGAGGGTGGTGGGCAGAGACTGGATGGGGCCCTGCCTCGGGGGCTCACGGGTGCCCCCTGGCTGCTGCAGGCGGGAAACAGACCTAGGTGAGGGTGCAAAGCTCTCCATCTCTCACCCGGACCCACGGGGGCTGCACAGGCAAGGCCACTGTTAGCTCCTAACACCACCGCCTCACTGATGGTTTCTCTCCCATTAAACACTCCCTCGTGGGGTGAGCACCTGAGATAATGACACCCCCCCCACACACACACACACGCCATTAGCTCAAACCCCAGCTCCACCTTCCCCGAGTCTCAGTTCACCCACCTGTAAGACAGGAGCAAAGGCAGCGGCGACCCCATTGCCCAGACAGCGAGACCGGGTAGGAGGGGGATTTTAGCAGGTGGCCCTGCCAGAGCCTGGCACTGCCACTTGTTTGCCAAGTAGACACTCGGGGTGGGGTATACTCCCCTCTAACCTCCCACTGGAGCCACGCCCGCCCGACTCACCCAGCGTGATGGGCTTGCTGTCCTCCTGGTCGGAGCCCATGCCCCCTCGGGGGCTGCCACTCTGCTCAGCCTCTGCAAGAGAAGGGGGAGGGGGCGTGGTCAGTGACTGCTGGAGGGGTCAGCCCACGCCCACGTGTCCTGGGAGGCCTCCCAGCCAGAGCTGATGAAGTCCTTCTGAGCAGCAGCCCACCCCCAACCTCGTGGGTTCCACCCGCCCACCTGGAGCTAGCAGAAGAGTGCTTAATTGGCGTGCAACCAGGGTTCCTCGTATTGCTGACAGCAAGAGCTAGCCCAAGGGGGAGCAGGGGCCGGCCTCGTGGCTGCAGCCATGGTCCTGGAGATGGGCTGGGACCCCCAGCATGTGTGCATGCCCACCCACACGTGGACATGTGCAGGACTTTTGGGGAGTGGGCGTCCCCCATCTGTGAACCCACAAGAGCAGCCTCCCAGATACCCGATAGCAGGGCCAGGGGGGTAGGGTCCCTCACCCGCACTGTGTGGCCCTCCACGTGCCCCGCCTATGCAGTCAGAGTGACCACCCATTCCAGAGAAGGACAGGCCACAAGGGTGAGTTCTGGCATGCATGGGCCCCTCACTTTGGCATCTGTCCATGCAGACCCCAGCTCTCCACCTAGGGATGGCCCATGGCCGGTGACCCTCTGCAGCTGAGTCCCTGACCACCAGCACACCAGGCCTGGGGCTCCCTCCTTGTCCGCCCCAGCACCCGCCCTGCCATCTTATCTAAAAATAACCCGGCTCCTTGGCTGGCCGGAGACCCAGTGAGGCAGACGCTGAGCTCAGCATTATCAGCTCTGG